AGAGTAACTTGTCTTGGCTGTGTTTTAGTAGACTAGTATTTTGTAAAATACAGTCACATTTTTAATTATCATACATTATGTATATGTTATTGTTATTTTGAAGTAAGTTCTTAAACATATTTTTCATAATACATAGAACAGTGAATAAAGAGGTATAGCAAACAATTATCTCTTCTAGTTACAACCTTTGTACTTGGTTGCTGTTTGATGTAGGTTGCTAAGCCTTTAAAAATTTTGCACGTGGAGGATATGAAACAAAATATTTTTTTTAGGTTTTATATATACATTTGAATAACTAAAGAATCATAAATTACTACATTAATATCATAGAATTCTACTATAACTGATAAAGCTTTGTAACCAAGATGTATTTTAATCTAAACTAGAACCCTCTTGTCACACCTATCAGTCATATTCTCTTTTTCAGGATTTGTTAAGAGTTCTCTCTTACATTTAATTCTACATAGAAAACCAATGTTTGCATCTATCAAATGATGTATTACAATGTTTTCAGAACAGAGATTTGTCAATTTCACTTTTAGTATAAGCTTCATACCCTCAGTAAACATATCAAAGAGCTTGGATGAATCTGAAATGGCTTTTGGCACATAGTTAGAAAAAGCCAGAAACATTGCGATAGTTTTGGACATTATCTGCTTTTTGCATGTTATTATTCTGTGTTCTTTGGTGCATTATTTAATTAAATAAGAATTATTTAGTGCACTGCTACCATCAGTATTAAAAAGGTAGTGTCAAGTGTCATCAACAGCAAAAGGGTCCACGTAAGTATTATATTTCTTGTTTTTCATGCAAATTCTTTATTTATTATTATAAAAAGTAACTAAAATGTAAAAATACAAATTTCTTTAGATTAGTTAAAGTTAGTTTAGGTAAAATAAATAATAATATAATAAAAATGTTTCATAAGGCATGCATGCAAGAAGCTTGGAGTAACTCGTCTGTAACGTAATCTGATAGCATAACACGAGTTTCACTTTCCCCAATTGATTTGCAACTTATAATGGCACAGATAGTAGTTAAACATAGTTCAAAGGGCAGTAAAACAATAAAATATAAGTATAAATAGATGTATACTGTTACGAAGTTAAAGGTACTCAGGATAAACAAATGTAGTTTCATGTTACAATTTGATATCATTTTAGAAAGAAAAAAGGGTAATTTAGATTTATTTCAATATTTTTTTGGTAGTTACAAGTTTGGTTGAATTAACCAATTCTGTTTTGAGATAGGGTAGAGAAAATAACACAAAATATAAAGTTTTACTGAAAACAAACAATTGAAATGTATTTAGGAGGATTTCGAGACTATGCAAATGAAAACAGATTTCTGAGTTGAAGAAAAGTATTTTTAAACACAAAATGAAAATCAGTTTGCATTCTGACTGGTAAAAAAAAAGACTCGGCATATTCTGGGACAAATCATTTTTTTTTAGTTTATTAAAAATACTTCACAAAAAATCTAATTTTTTGTATGCAAAAAGGCTTGTTATTTTTATTACAAGTCTGCAAAATTTTGTGAAGATATGCAGACTATATTAAAATTATTAGTATCAAAACTATACTGACTTTAAAGAGTAAAAAGTGGTCACGTGGTTGTTTAATTCAACTGAGCCTGTTTCAAGAGAGTTAATAAGATTGCAGTAATAATAAAAACCATTTAGAAAAAAAAACATATTGAAAAGTAATAAATATATTTCTTTACTAAGGTATTCATTTGTACAGAATAAGCATATATATGCATAAAGACTTATCTCCTTCTATATTTTACTTTCACAGACACTCTATGAAACTTTCCTTACACTGATAAAGTGACAATTGTATACATAGACAGCTTAATCTACTCAGCACTTTACATCTATACTGTAAAGTTACTTAAAGTTGTTAAAACTTTGAATATCTCTTACCATTTTTATTTTCCTCAAAACTGAAAGATGAAACATAAGATACTTTCCATGGAAGTGAATGTCTAGTAGATAATATTGATGCAAAAGACTGTTTAAAGAGAGGAATTCCTTTTTTTGTCCACAAATGTTTAACTTCAGTTTCTGTAAAATTCTTAAGTGCCTAGAAGATTAAGAAAAACACATTCAGTATCAAATAGGAAATGTTTTTATCTAAAATTGTAATTAAATAAGTACTTACATTTTTATCATCACCCATATCATAAAATTAAATATTCCACATATTTTCTTCTCCTACAATTTTTTTGAACTTTTCCTATAATATTTTTACATTAGTTCACAAAAGCCTTTGTCATGAAAGAGCACACCCTGATTGCATTTACTTCACAAAAAATATCAACTAGTCATAATTTTCTGTCATTAACCCTTTTGTGAAGGGCTCAATATAAAATACACGAGTTTGTATACACATTTGCACACGTTACGTATTTATAACTTTTAATGCTGTATGTGTATCTTCACAAAATTTGGTAGACTTTTAGTAATGATTCCAAGTCTTTTGTATGCAAAAAATTAAATTTTTAATGAAGTACTTTTACTAAAAATTTGTTTGTAAAAATTACGAGTCTGTTCTTTTACTTGTCCAAGTACGAAGTGATTTTCATGTTATGATTAAAAACTATTCTTCGTCCCAAAAATCTCAAATATTATTTGTGTAATCTCTAAAACCTCCTAAATACATTTCAAACATTTTTGCAGTCTGTTATTTTCTCTATTCTAACTATACATGGTCTGTAAATTTGACCAACCTCATAACCACCATAAAAAATTAGGAAATAAATATAAATCATGCTTATTTGTTCTAGAATGACTACAAATTATAACACAAATGTTTAGTCGAAATAAATTAAATCTCATAACATTATACATTTATATATATTTATTATATTGACCTTCCAGTCACGCCTGGCTAACATTATAGAAATTGCAATGACGAAGCGCACACGCACTCATGTTACCATATCCAAGGATATAAAACTGGCCTTTACAAAGTGACTTGTCTTGGCTGTTTTAGTGGAGTCACATTTCAATTATAATACATTACATATGTATACACATTATTACTATTTACAAATAAGTTCTTAAAACATAGAACAATAAAAAATAAGTAAAGCAAACAATTATCTCTTCTAGTTACAAACTTTGTACTCGTTCGCTGCTTGCCATAGGTTGCTAAGCCTTATCAAATTTATGATTATCATAAATTATTGTATCAACTATAGAATTCCACTATAATTTATCAAAGTTAGTAACTAAGCTGTATTTGGGTCTCAAAAAAATATGAAAGTTTGAGCTCATGACTCATCTTACCAGCATGAAGATTTGTATTGAAAGAATGTGATGATGTCCCAACACTTGAAAATGGCTGATAAAGCCACTAGGGGGACATTCTGAGCTTTCAATTGGTTATTCACATGTTATATATTGAAGTAAGTGTATATGAGAAACTGTTTCCAAAAATGAGATATCACTCAGTACATGAGTGATATCTCAGCAAATAGAAAAGATGGGAGGATCTTATTTTACATTCTTGCTTGTCAATATTGGTAATTTGAGTTCCTAATTTGTAGTAAACTATAGACTTAGTATTTTGACATCACAAACATTTAATTTGAACCAGTGGTACATTCAACATACCACACAAACATCAATGTTTAGGTGTTTTGTTTTTTAATATTTATTATTAAATTAAGAAATCAAATAATGTAAAATACAAAAATTGGAATTATAATTTACAGTTTGATATCAAACTTATTGACATAAATTCATAAAATGGTAATTCAATAAAATTTTTAAAGCAAGTCAACAAAGACAATGAAATGGCCTTTGACCCATGACTCGTGGCAATAGGGTTAAGATATGGGGAAAGAGGAAGATTTATGTGTCCAATACGAAAACACCTTGATTCTGTAAAAATTTCATACTTGTAAACACAATTACATAAGATCCCAATATTAAGATGGGATAAAGGGGGTCTAGAATAATTGAGATGAAATTTTATGACAAAGCAGCTTTCAGTTTTATAACACACAGCAACTATGTATGTATCACAAATCAATAAACAAAGCTGTAAGTGCAATTACATTTCCATAACAGTTCTTAGAATGGATCTGAATAATTTCACACAAAAAAAAGCAAAAACAAAACCGATCCTCAAGAAAAGATCTCAACATTGCACAGACGAGGGGTAACACCAGGAAAAAATGGGTGTCAAAAAGACCCTAAGCTAGCTCTTATCAGACCTGGACAAAAATTTTAACATTTTCCTACTTGAAAATGTATTTCTGATAGATACACACCTCCAAACATAAAATACTTTGATCTCTTGTGTTTCTTCATATGAGATTTGTACACATAAGCCTCGAAATAACTCGCACCTAAAAAATCACGTTAAACTCTCTCGCTACAGACCCTGTTGCATTAGCCAAATTCGTGACCACAAATTGACCTCTATAGTTTTCATTCTATAACATCTAATATCTTTTGTGTATCTTCATGACATTTTGCTATCTTACAGTAATCATTAAGAGATTAAGAAACATTTGTAGACAAAAAATCAGAATTTTTATGAAGTATTTTCACTAAATTTCTCAATGAATATATGAAGTTAAAATGTTGACTACTCCAAGTGCAAAGTGATTTTCATGTTAAGATTAAAAGTACTGTCCTTCATCTGAAAGATCTTAAAGATCATTTTCATAATCTCTAAACCTCCTAAATAAAACTATGTTTTATCTGTTAGTTATTCTACCCTAACTCTATATGAGGTTGGTAAAGTTGACAGACCCTCATAACCACCAAAAAAACTTTAGAAATAAATCTAAGTTACCATTTTTTCTTCCTGGAATGATTTAAAATTGTCACATACATTACATTCATTTATCCTTAATAGCTTTAAATAGTTAACAGTATAAATCTGTTTATACTTAAAATTCTATTGTTTTAATGCCTTTTGAACAATGTCTAAACTAATATTCTTGCCACAGAAGTTGTAAATCACTTGGCAAATGTGTAGCTCACATTACCCTATCAAATTATATAATGCATGAGCTACTCAGAAGTTGCATATGAGCATATCTTATGAAAGTCAGCATTTTCCTACACTCAAAATGTATTTCAGATAGATACTAAACTATGCTCATAAAATAGCTTTTCTTGACTAGCACTGCCCACTCGGAACAAATTTTCAATGCTCGCTACTAGCCTTCCACCTCTGGCTTCTGTATATCTACATGCAAATGATCATGCATCAGCTCTCTATCAATAGGAGCGAGACACCACTCTTATTCTAACCAGCACGCTCTTCATATCTGCACTCCTTAATCACTTTGAGATTGATCAGAAGATCTACACCATATATCATTGGAAGTGAGGAGAATGGAGGTGGAACGGGAGCGGAGGCAAGTGTCTATCAGTGTAGGAAAATGCTAACATCCGATGCAGTATGTTACCTCCTCGCACAAAATACTCACAAACTGAACTTGTAGAGGGCCAATAAAAAAAACTATTCCCTTTAGTAAGTGCCCAAAGAGAGACCAAATGATGTGGAGCCAAAAGAGAAAACACCACACCTCAGCAGGAGACTGCACCACATCTGATCCAGATATACTCTTCGCTCTTATATGAGAGTGTTGCAAATATAAAAGGTGGATAAACATGAAGAAATCCCAGAATATTGTCAATTGGCTAATGTTACTCATCTTTTCTAGGAAGTTTATAAAAATTGTTCCAGTAATTATAAGCCTATTATTCTTACATCATTGGTGGGAAAAGTTTTTGAAAATCTGTTAAAATATGCTTTGCAAAGCTATTTAACAAAGTTTACAAATTTTGTTGGATACTCAGCATACTTTCACTATGAAAAAATCTTGCCATATTAATCTTCTGACATTCTTTGAAGAAGATAATGCATGTAGATGAGACTATGAGTGTTAATTTGTATACCTAACTTTTCAGAAAGCATGTGATGAAAAAGCTTGTTAAAAAGTTATCTGTAATGAAGTGGATAATAGGTTGGCTCATTAAATAGAAAACTGGCTGGATGGAAGAAAGCAGTGGGTTGTTATAAATGGAGTTCAGTCAAGCTCAGCATGAGGACCTTCATTCTTTTTGATTTACATCAATGACATAGATGAAAGAATGGTCAAAAAAACTATTTAAATTTGCTGTAAAGCAGTAAGTCTAAATGACCGCAAAATTTGAAAAGTATTGGCTTTTGCTGTAAGAACAGTGTGTAATTGTCTGTTACAATAAGCAATCATTCTAGAAAGAAAAAAGGGTAATTTAGATTTTTTGTATTTTTCAAATTTTTGTTTTACATTACATTGCTGAATTCACTTCACTTAATGTTAGAAGTAAAGAAAATAACAAACATAATATATGGTTTTATTGAAAAAAATGTTTTGATATTCATTTAATGTTTTTAGTCTTAACATGAAAATCATTATGCACTTAGACTAATCAGAGAAAGACTCCAACTATAGAAATTCATGAAAATTCATATTGCACCCAAACCTTTTACAGAATACTAAGTAAGATACTGTAAAGGTCATAAGTGTATTGAAAAGTTAATTTGTTTCTTTTATATTTTACAGATGCTAAAAACATCATAATTCTGCTGTAGATGATGTTATCATTACCCCTTGAATCCTTTCTTCCAAATATCTGGTGTTCCTTTAAAAAGCTTAAGTACAGGATGAAACAAGAATTACCAGCCAATAAAAGATGCACTTTAGATTATTGTAACATGTAGATACTCAATGCCTTGTACACTATACAATCAGTGTCTTTAGGGAGTCAACCCCCTATAATATGTATGAATTGAAGGAGAGAAAAAAAAATATACATAATGTTAAAGTTTATTACATGCATTCATATAATAATTACTTTAAAAAGACATGAAGGTTTATTTAAAGTGATGTTTGAAACATATATGTTATATCTGAAAGGCTGCTTTTCTACTCGTAAAAGTTTATACATGCTTAATGAGGGTTGTGTCTTAATCTACGCATATATTTGCACATTGCTATGCATTTTACATAGAGAATTTAGTTACACAGAAACTATAAATGTTCACTATATCCTCAAACAATTCTCTATGAAAATCTCTAGCTTAACCTTTTACATCTCGAAGTAATGCAATTAAATAGTCAATAGCTAAAGTCAATCATTATGAACCATATTAGCTAGCTATGTCATTATCATAACAATGTATAAAGTTAACTACCATATCAAGTATACTTTTGCCCATAGTTGAGCATAAAAAAGCCAGCAAACAAGATTTATAAAAAATTGGGAGTTTAAAAACCTGCAAATAGGGATCATAAAAAAGTAAGGAAACACAGCTGAAGATACTGTATACATTACTTATTCAAAATACAAATCCATATTTTGACTCCATGAAAAGTAATTCTAGGTAACAGTAATATGTACAGTTTTATGGTTACATGGTGGTTACAAGGTTTGTCAAAATGACCAAACCTATGTGTAGATGGTTAAGTATTTCACTCTGAAATTAAAACTTACATAATATTATAATTCAAATTATAAACCATGATTTTAAGTTTACTGACATACACTGATAAAGTTGAATAGTTAAATTTTGAATATAACTTTTAAAAGGTCACAATATGAAAACTTTGACCCCCATTTGTGCACTCTTATTTTAACTACCCTTACAATGATAAATGTGAAATATCATAAAATCAGATTTGACAGTAAGTGAAAATAGTAGCCAAAGATTTAACAAGAAAATATTCAAGTTATTAGAAGTCTTCTCTAAAGTTTTGCATTTTAAATGATTGAAAGATATTTAAATTGTACCAACTGCTTAGTGAAAATTAATTTTATCTCAAAAACATAATAATACTCAATATCATTGAAATTGTATGAATTAACAAAGTAAATTAATTTATTAACATGAAATATGAAACACAAAACAGTTAATGTTTTTGCACTCCTTTTATCACAAATCCCCCTCAACAAGTACAGCAAACTTTGTTTTTAGACATCTCAAACAGAAAATTTTGTTCCTATTAAACAGTACATGATTACAAATTAACAAATTAGAGGGTCATAAAATTATTTAATAGAGTATTAAACCAAAGATATGAAACCAAAAGGCTACAGTAATTACAAACTTTGTGAATGGTCTCATTATGATATACCAAATAAATGTACTTTACTAGCTTGCACTGGAGGATTAAAATTTCTAATAGGAAAACAAAAAGGATGCCTCTATCTATCTTAATAAGTGTATATCAAAATTAGAAGATTTTTCTATATATAAAACTGATCACAAGCTCATTTGGTGAAACAAAAAAGGTAAATCAAAAAATAACTTTGATGGTTATTAATAGCAAGACTGAAAGCTAGCTGAATTGTATTTTTATTTTTTTAGTTTACATACCTCTTCAAAGCTCTCTGCACATAATATACCATTTTCCTTATTGCTCAGTTTATTCTTGTCACTCCTTTTTCTGGAAGCTACACCAGTAAAGGATGAAGCCACATGACTTATAGGTAAGAAAGCCTGTAATATACAATTTTTAACTATCATATGTATATCTCTTCGGGGAAACAACAAACCTCACTAAAAGACTATTTAAACAGATATAATAGTAAACTTACTTGATTTAATAACCAAATGTGAATATAATGTTGTGTATCCACCTTCTAAACAAAAAGCTGAAAAAACCACAATGTTACAATACTTTATATGCACATTCTGCTAAAACTACACTTTTCATAGGATGTGAGTGGTAAAAATCAATAAACATCAACAGACCAATTTTCTTGAGGCTATATGTGATAGATAGTGGAACAAATTAAGTGATAACAGTCTAACTTGATTTGATTAAATAACAATATAATGATACATCATATAATATTATCAGAATTTCAAAAGAGATATTTCTGCCAGAAATTGAAATCAAGCATGTTCCACTTAAATAAAGCATTTGTAACTATCACTAAAAAAGTTATCTTTTTTTTTCTCTGAAGTGGTAAAGTTTCTAGTCTGAACTTTATTCTTTTTATTCATTTCCTGAACTAAATGTACAAGGAAACACCAGCTATTGGTATCAGCCAAGAAAACCTTAGTCAGTGTAACTCTAATAGCAATATAATGAAAACTTGTTTCTCATAGGAAAGATTTCTAGAGTTGTGATATTTTATATTTGAATGCACAAAGTTTATAAAATGTAAAAGCAGTGCTGTGTATTAAAAACAGTTAATTGACCTGCCTAGACTACTCATGTATGATGTTAGGTACATATAATTCTGAACAAATCTGATGACCATGCCCATGCAAGGTATCTCAATGACTGAGAGGTTAAACCTATTCCACATTACGTGATACCCACCAAACACCTCTAGTATAAAAACACACTTTGAGCTGAATGGTCTGATCCAAAATGACAAATCAATCAACTTAACTAGAAAGAGACACCAGATCTAACAATGCTTTTAAAACCTGGGTATTGGGAGCAAGTATTATAAACACCCCAACCCCCTTATGCTTATGTTGACATAGTTTGTATTTTTAATTTCATTTTTGCATAGTTTATTAAAGTTTAAAACTTCCCAAGCAAGCACTACTCTTTTAATTGATTTCTTACTGTTTTCTGTCATAATGCATCAGTTTAAGCACCCATTCAAATAACATGCACAAATTCAGTTGCATGTGTGAATCATGGCAAATAGGTGTTGTTTTTTCAAGAAAAAGCCTGTAGACCAATGGAAGTATTTGTTACATCACTGCACCAGTGCATATATGTGTTATTTAAGAATTAAAGCTGAATTCTACATTTCAACTCCAACTAAAGTCTGGTTAGCATGGGAAACAGATAACAAAATTCATGATCATTTTCTAAGGTGTTTTTTTTTTCAAGCACTTGCAAGGCTTTGAATTATGTTTTGCAAATCCAAACATTTTCAAGGATTTTAAACATCCTTACAAGCTCTGAGAATTGGTATATTCATAATAAAAGAGAACAGATGGATAGGAAATGGCAAATTAACACTAATCACTGAGAAGACAGTTCTATATTCAGGCAGGAATGACAATGAGCAACCAAGAGAGGATTTTGCTTATGCTTGACAAGACAGCAGAGAGAGATCCTTTCTTAAGTGAAAGCCAGTGATTGAGTTCATATTAACAGCACACTTCCACTCTAAGTTCAACAACCTTATTGTGGTTCAAGGTTTATGCCCCAACAAATGATGAGAGAAAAATAAACAAAGGAACATTTCTATGAGAAGATACAAACAATGAACAAGTAGTCCCAAATCAAGATGTTTTAGTAGTAATAGGAGATTTAAATGACAAAGCAGGAAAGGATCAACACCAGTAGAACCAAGTACATGGGAAAGCAAGGTATGGAAGAGATGATTAGTTGGTTGTTGCATTTTTTAAGATGCAAAGCACAAGGGGCTATCTGTGCCAATCAGTACTAAAACTGAGGAAAAAGAAAAAAAAGGGATAATGTAAAACAGGGTAAGAAAGTAAACAAGATAAAACAAACCAAAAACAGAACACTGCCCATAAATGAGGTTAAAAGATAAACACTTAGAAAAGGCATGTCAAAAATAGCACCACTGCTGGCAGTTGTAGTAATGGCAGAAATTTAAAATGTGGGCAAGTGTGACTTGAGTGTCACAAAGGTCATACATTGGTAGATCTGTTCCCTGCAGAAGAAAATGATGAGTCACAAAAACTGTGGCCAATGCATAGCCTAAACATGACAACTTCCTCCTTCCAATCTGTATGGAAACTTGATGGCCAAACAAGCAGTAGGCTTTATCTGTAAAAGCTCGTTATGAAGTTGATCACTCCAAATCAATTGACAACTAGCATGAAGCCATGCCTTGATCACAGGTCTATAGTCTACATAAGGGATGGGCAGGGGTACGACAATGCCAGAACAGACAGATTTAGCTCTGTTGTCAGCAAGTTCATTCCCGCAAATACAGACATGGCCATAAATCCAGAAAAACTGAGTAGGAATAGATGACAAAGAGAAGTAAGCCAGTTTTTTCTCAATAGTAAAGAGAACTAGGCAAGAACTCACAGTAAGTGATTCCAGGGCCATTAAAGAACTGAACGAGTGTAGTTAATGTACTGCTTATCTTCTTTGTGATCCAAGGCAAGTGAAATTGCACACAACTCTACAGTGAACACATAATCTGTGAGCAACCACCAAGCCACTGCAAACCAAGGCAGAGCTCACAGAGTCACCTGATTTTGAACTATCCATAAAAATAGGAACCAAAAAATGGTTGAAAAGATGTTCAGTAAAGAGAAGACAGTATTTCCAATCAGGAGTATTCATCCTCCTCAGATAACAAAAAGAAAAATCACAACTAGGGATGGTAATGAGCCAGAGGATGGGCTGATCATCAAATTCAGCAACTTCATCCCACAACAAACTCAATTCAGTCAACCACACTTGGATACAATGAAATTAGCAGCTGAAAGGTTGTAGTAATCTTTACTTTCTGAACTACCTGGTAAAGCTGCACAGTGCAGCCTGCATGAAAATCACACTAAGCCTCAGCATTTCAAACAGCTAGAACATTGATGGATGAAGTGACTACTGATGATTCTAAATATTAAGATGGACAAAGAGTCTGAAAGGCTTTTTATGATCTTTGCCATCTAAGCACTTGGTAGAGTTTGTGATGAACATATACAAATGACAAATGTCACTCCAAAAAACACCTTTACAGATATGACATGATTGCAGGTGTGACTTTGTGTTGCAGGAGCATGTGAGGTCACACTGGCAGGCCTGGTATGGCTGTACTAGTGCAGTGAGGGAATTGTGTTCTAGAAAGACAAGATAAATTATTCTGTCGTAAATCTAGGGAGAAAACTTTCCCTTTCATCAATTAGAGCTGGGTAATTATGATAATTTGATGAGAAAGAGGAAGAGAGACACCTACCAACGTGCGAGTCCTGTCCAATTACCAATGCAACATTGTTGACTATGGGAGGAGGAAGGGTAATAAGAGCCTGCAGAAGATCCTGTGCAAGATTCCACACATCCAGAGATTCTTGGAATCAAGCTCCCACAAATTCCAAAGGCATATGGTAGTAACTGCTGATGCTGGTGGCATTCCAACTGAGTGGAGAAACCTCATGGATGTGGCTGGAATCTATACTGGGTACCAATGGACTGAGCTGTAGATGTTGGGGGTTGGGACACTCAAATAGGGGCAGAACTATGATCCCCTGAAGCCAAGGAGAGTCAAGAAGCCAATGACAACAGGGATGAATGCAGATAAACAACATCAACCCTTGATTCCAAATACTCTGGAATGCCCACAAATATCAAGCATCAGAGGAAGGAGGCATCATGTAACTCACAGAGGGTGTCAGCCAACAAACAAATGCACTCCAACAATGCATCTCTACCCAACATACCAGCAAAAAGATTAGGAAAAGTGCAGAAGCTGACAACTGAACCAAGGTAGATGCCATCAATGTTCCCAACTTGTTATCAAATTGATGTGCCAATTGCTGAGAGGCTTTCGGCAAAAGCTGGAGGGACGATAAATATCTCAGAACCATAATTAGAGTCAGACAAATCCTAAAAAACTGTGATATTCAGGTTGACCACAGATTCCATTCTGGAACCCCACATTTCCAGGAGCAGATCAATTCTTTGAGAGTCTAAATATGTGTCCACCTGGAAGTGTTAGGTGAAAGCATGTTCTTCGGACAAACGTGGCAGACAAGACATAGCTGTCCCTTCACGTAACTGAGCAGTAAATCTCCTTGCATAAACCACAATATCAGAGGGATGGAGGAAGAACTAAGTGTTCCCCCTCAGACATTTCTGCAATTAAGGAAGGTGCATGACTCAAAAACAACCAGGGAAAGACCCAAAACATCACACACACTTAGTTGATCAACTGAAGAAACAGAGCAGAAGGTAGCTTATCTAAATTGGTCTCATGAGAAGCCAACAAAGTAAAGGAAGGCACTTGGAAAAAGCAAATCTAAATTCTCTCCAGAATGATTAGGATCAACTACAAGTGTAGCAACAAAGCCCCATAGAAAAAAAAACCAAAACAATATATATGTCTCCATCTCACTACAAATAAGGTTATGGACAGTTTCAACTAAGAGCAACCAGTTCCCCTGATCATGGGAACCATGAAGATAAGATACTATGCTTTGTACTGATTGAAAATTTATAAAATAATTATAAAATATTTATTTTATTACAGGTGTACAATTAAGTCAATTTGCAGGACTAAACCAGTTAACCCTTTTGCAACAGGCTCAGTATGATATACAAAAGTTTGTATACATGTTTGCACATGTTAAGTATTTATACTATAACTTTTAATTCAGTATGTGCATCTTCATAAAATTTGGTATACCTTTAGTAAACATCACAAGTTTTTTCCGTACAAAAAATCTAATTTTTTAATTAAGTAGTTTTTACTAAAGATTTGTTTGTGAATATATCCAAACTGTTTCGTTACTAGTCTGAGTGGAAGTGATTTTCATGTTATGATTAAAAATAATATTCTTCATCCCAAAAATCTCAAATTTCTTTTGTATAATCTTTAACACCTCCTAAATGCATTTCAAACATTTGTTTTCAGTAAAACTATATCTTACAAATTACTTAAAGATGTACTTGAATCTTCAGTCTGTAGACAAATTCCGAAAGTATAATGAAAAAATACAAGTTGTAAAATTAGAAATAAAAGGAGTAGCTATACCTTTTCTTCATTATTATTGGTCACAAAGTTTCAAAGTACTTCTCTTATGAGTTTCAACTGCTAAACATTTCTCATTTATTTTCTGTGTTTATTTTACTGTTAATGACTAAAGTAGAACCCCACTGAAAATAAAGCAATAAATTGCTGCTTGTTTAGAAGACTGTTTACATGACACCACCGTAAAACTATACTCCTGAAAGCAACAAAGCATGAGAGAAAAGATAATCAACTCAATCCCTGCTCCGAGAACATACTGTCTAATGTATCAGATTATATATGCTAAAATGTTTTCTTGGAAAATTCAGAGTAATCACACTGCACTTAGAATGAGTGAAAACATTTAAGCCAACAAGATGTGTAACTTATCAGCTTATGTATGTATCCCACGGTGTTCACAACAAGACTTTTCCAGAGTAACAACACTGCGCCTTGAACCTGTCAAAACATCTATTATGTGGTTTGGTGCCAATACAATAAACATTGCAATTCTTTTAATGTTGGTAATCCTTTTGGGGTGTTTGGAATTTAGTGGCATCGGTGTACAAAGATGTTATTTGAGCACATCCTTATAAAATCCTATTTCCCTTTTCAGCACTTAATCGTCAACCAATAAAAACTCTAGTATCAGTACTATTTATCACAGTCCTTTAGTTTCACAGGGCTTATAAGTCTAGCCTTCTTTGGAAAACATTCTTACTTTTGCAGCTAAAGTGTAGTTTAGAAGTTCCCTTATGGTTGTGAAACACCTTGAGTTGTTACTGACTCTTACCTTGATATAATTAATAATCATTTATAATATATATAGACACACACACACACACACACAGAATCAAGGTACGGAATCAAATACAAGGTACAAATATATGTACTACTAATATTTTACAAACTACACCAATATTTTGGCTACCATACATTACATATATACATATATATTTACTCATAGATGCTTAGATTTTAGTAATTTTTCTTAAAACATGAACAATAAATGAAAATTACATATAAAAACAATGTTTTCTAGTAGTTACGATAAATTACGGTGATAGGAAAATATTTTGCCCTCATGTCCTTTAGTACTAAGCCTCGTTTATTTTTTCGAGTGGAGGGTGAAAAAATATAATTTTTGTTGGCTTCAAATACACATTTTAGAAAGAAGAAATATATCACATTACTCTACTAGTACACCCAAAACATCTGTAACTTGCTTGGGTTTATAAATAAGGTTTATATGTGTTAAAAAATTTTTATCTCCATTCAGAGTAACAACTTGGTCATCTTGGCAAAATTATTATTTTCTCTTCCAATCTCTTTACAAACAACTGTCAGAATCATGTAAAGCAAAACTCGTCCTTTCTAAACAGACCATTAAGAAAAGTACGGGGAACTAAACAAGAGGTCTGGAAAGAATGGAGTAGGAGGAGGCGCCACTCTAGTTGATTTGCAAGATACATTGATTTCTCAGCAAATCAAAGTGGTGGGAGGCTCTAAATTTATATTCTAGCTTGCCAGTATCTAATATTCATGTTTCTAATTCATTAACCACTTACAGACGTATATAGTAGGCATAAAAAAATATAAACTGAGCAACAAGACATGAGGAGGTACTATGTGACACACACACAAATCAATACTTACCTTTATTTATACTTTCTTTTGAATTAAGTTAAAACATACATAATATTAAAATTTGAAATATAAGCAACGTTTTGATGCCAATTTCACTGATACATAGTAATAATAAAATTACTTTATAAAGTTTTGAAAATAAATCATTGTGAAGTGGTTAAACAAGTGTATAATATAAAATTTACTCTAAATAGAAAACTTTTATCATTACTTTTATTTTAAGCATACTATTGAACAAATTAAAAAATTTATATTATGTACAATAACACATGGAGAAAATGTACCGCTGAAACTTTTCTCTCAGTTGCAATGAACAGTTTTTGTAATAGTGAATAAAATTTTGAAACATTATCATGTTTCACAAGTTATCAGAAATGACATCAACATCAAATGTCCTGTAGCACTATATTTAGAAATAAAACCCATCCTATAGTAGAACTTTTCATAACAGAGTAAGACTGTTAGGGAAATTACACATATATAAAATACAATGTAACACATAATATCAGAAAATTAAAATTCACAGTTACCTGCAGTTGAGAGCCCAGAAAAGCATTACCCACACTAAACATTGTGGTTCTTGAAATAAGGCAAGCTTCTTCAAGTTGTTTTGCTGTGATATTATAAAAGCTGGTGAACTTTTCAGAAATCAAATCTTTACAAAGATGACTTTAGATTTACCTTAACAGAATCATTCACTCCATACTCTGTAACCATAGTTTCAGCCTGAAAAACAAAAAGCAAATAAATCTACAGATATTCATCTGTGGCTTTGTTAGTTATTTTATTTATATTGTAGCTATTTACCTTTTACCCAAACTGACTCAGTAAAGGGTAGTAAATTCTCAAGACACATCTTTAGTAAAATTACTTTATTCAAAAATATGATTTGCTATGTACAAGATTTTTAATGCCAAATTTTGTGAATATACTTTCCATCTTCAACTGTGAAAATATAAAAAAAGAACAGAAAATTAACTTTGATAAAGATGCATTTAGTAAATTCATAATTACAGTATGCATTACTATGTATAGCTTCAGAGATACAAAATTAGTCCAGTGGACCAACCCCTTTCACACAGAAAGTTTAATAGAGCTTCCTTCATTTTCCTTTTTCCATTGTACTTTTCATTAAAAATTTTGTGAACTGAAAGAGAGGAGGTGTTGTGACCAGCATCTTGTTTGTGTTGAAATATGTGACAAGTTGGTGCTCATTCAAGCAGACATTTGTGTTTTCTCCCTATTTCACTTATGTAGCATGTTGTACATAGTCCTGGTATTTGCATTCATAAACATGGTTGCTGTGAAATTTGATAGAATACTGCAGTTTTGTGTAAGGAGTAGAATTAAATATAACCTTTACATTACTGTTGCATTTTTTACATAGAGGAAACCAAAATATTTCTAGAATGCGAGAAAGCCAGGAATTTTCATGTAAGGTAAAGAGCAAGAACTAGTGTCTTTGCTTAAGTTGAAATTACTTGGGGCATCACATTGATCATCTTTATAAATGTTAGTATTTGTTTTCAATGATAGTTTTATGATAAATTTGTGTATGTAAAATAAAACAGGATTTTATATGTTGAATTTCTGAATTCAGATTGTTTTTAAAATTGTAAATAGTTGTAGCAATAGAAATAAAAGTTCAGAAAAAGGTTGTTTTTTTTCCATAGGGTGAGCTGAATTTCAAGGTTTGTAGAACTCAGATCATTGTGAGTGACTAAGATAAAAACTCATGGAAAAGCCTTGATCTGATCTAAGCATAAAAGTTGTTGAGAAATGATAAAGTTCTATCTGTTCCTTGGTGTGAATTTTGTTGAAGGGTATTGTTTAAGTGTTTTATAAAATGCTGGGCATTTGGAATAACCTGTAAATAAATTGTCAAAGTATCATAACCAATACATAACAGGAGGAAAGAGTGTGGGGTTTAGAGTATGATGTTCAACAGAAGTTAACATTTTCCTACACTGAAAATGTATTTCCTATTGACTCTTACCTCCCTCACATAACAGCTTTTCTAGACTTGTACTGCCTTCTATATGCACAAATTTTCACTTGCCATTAACCTAAATACTCCTATCTACCTTCAGGTGTCTTTACATGAGCAGCTGCATGATAGCATACAACAACTCTCCATCAATAGGAGAGTGACACAGCTCCAAGAACAGCTGACTCCCTCTATGCAGCTTAACTCAACTGCACTTTGAGATTGAGCAAAATAAGAAAAGACACTGGAAGGGTGGAAAGTGAGAGAAAAGGAAAGAATCTATCAGAAATACATTTTCAGTGTAAGAAAATGTTCAACTCCGATACAATATCTTACCTCTTCTTACATAATAGCTTGAATCCCACAGTGATCTGATGGAGGGACCAGTGCAACATGACCTAAAGGAACCCCCTTCAGAAAGCACCAAAAGGAAGCCCATGGGGTGTGTAGGACGTACCTGTGGGAAACCACACTACTTCTAAGCCAGGTATACTCTTTGCCCATAAAAATGATGTGTCACAATAAGGGCAGAATCACAGGAGGAACCCCACAAATTAAGAGAAGGTATCCCTGGTGTAGAGTGGTTAGGAAGCGAAGAGTTCAACCTTTACCAATACCAACAGTACCATGATAGAAATACCCAGCCCCTGGTTGGAAGAGGGTCCTCCAACATTCACCTCGGACATGAGAACTGGAAGGGAAGATCTTCTATTTCAAGGACCTACGTCATCATGTGTGCATGAATAACACAACCAACATCAGTAGCCCCTGGGAACCAACATCCAGACAGATAGCAATGTGGTGGTTTAACTGCAGTCCAGAACAAGGTGGCATTGGGAATAAATTGTCCAGTCTGCCATAGAAGGGTACCTGGACCACTCACATGTGAGGACTTATGAGGCTGGTCCAGCTCCAAACAACACCAGTATCCCCCAGTAGCCAACATCCAGGTGAAGGTAGAAAGGAGGGTATTCAGCCAGAGGGGTGAACTGCATTGCAGCAAAAATTATCCAGTCCATAACCAGGCAGCATCTGGAATAAAACATCAGGTCCACAGTAAGAGAAGTATCTATACACCATCTACACAAGAACACCACCATCCTACTCTCAACCGAGTGGAAATGAGAACACTCAGGATGAAGCCTTTATGATTCACCACCCCAGCATCTAGGAGCTGGTAAGTGGTAAGGGCTCCTGTAATCCACTGGAAGAATGAGGGGTGAGAAAATATGTATTGGAGATTCCATAGAAGTGCAACACTGGAGACAGTGCAATGGATGACAGTGAAACCATATTTTAAAAATCAGACATTTCCTGATACAGCCAAACCAAGGAGCAATAAGGATGGGTAACAATCCCCTTTTGCTTTTCTCATTTTAGTCCATGAACATAAGGTCCAGAACAAACATATTTATAATGCAAAACCTTGTGAGGAAAACCTACAAGCAGTTGTGCAGAAAACCCCATTTCAACAGTGGGGATTATTGACCTGAATGGTCATACAATGTGGGTTTAAGAATAGGAATACCTGGTTAGGCAATACCCACCATTGAGCAGGATCCATACATGCAAGAAAGGCTTCTGTAAAAAGGAACATAATAAAAAGAGCACCTACCAACTCATAGAGAAACCATGGAGCTCAAGATGGTGATGGAAAGTACACAGTAAAAGGTAGAGCAGAAAATGGCCAGATGATGAAGATAATGTAAGATAACTATATGGGGAGTGGTCCACATGCTAGCATGAACCATATTCTTTAAAGGCAATGGTATCATGCAGCCAGGGACATGGTAAGGTGATGGATATGATGGGAAGAGACTTGGAAGAGGTGAAAATAATCAGGAGAGAGAGAGAGAGCAATAAGCCTGGCAAATCCAACCAGTAAGAGTAATAAGAGAAATATCATGGGAAAGGGGAGAGTTTCAATGAATAAACACAAGGGAACCATGGAAGAGGGCAGTGCAAACCACAAAACAGTGGAGAGCCTGGACAGGATACAGAAGGCAATCTGGATTGGAACAAGGATAAAAGTAATAAATAGAATGGATGGGAAATAGGATGAAGGCAGATCTGCTCTCACGTGTGGCTGAGGTTTTGTGCAGGAAAATGCAAACAAGTCTGAACATCAACATCCACATGCCAAGAGGAGGAGGAAAAGGTCTTTAAGGAGAGATGATATAAGAAACAAGATGATACAGTCTTCAATGGAGCAAGTGTGAAGGCATGGAGGATGATTTTCAGGTTCCAATCAGGGCCCTCCAGTAAGATGTCAGCGCTGGCAAAGGCAGAAGGAATGAAACAAAAGGGTAATGAATGCAGAAGTAAAGACACAGCACAATCTTGTGAAAAGGAAAGTGGAAGACTGCCACGTGATAACCAGCAATAGAAGATACCAACAGCCCCTTGTCAAAAATCCAAGTCATAAAGGAAGGCACAGGATAGAACAGACGGAGGAAAACCATAGCAAGAACAATGGATGTAGACATACAACTCATGATGGTAAACTGCCATGGAGAAAGAGCAAACAGAATGGGAAATCAGAAAAGCAACCCATGAAGAAAGTCTGGCCCATCTGGCAGGAGACCAGACATGAAGACAGAGAATTGGAAGGGAAAGATTTAACATGCCTGGCTGAGGTTGTCTGAGGAGGGTGAATGAGAGGGGTAGAGGATGAGGAAATGGCCATTGGAATGGATAGAGAAGTGAAAAACATTAGCTGCCACCAAGAGGATTTGACATGGAGTGGCTTGTATGACTGCGAGGACACGAGGAAGAAGATGGATGGGAGGACATACATAGAGGTAATGGCACGCAATCCTGACTGATGGCATTGGCAGCTACAGCCAAAGGATGAGGAGTAGGAGATCAAAACCTGGGAAGGAATTCAGGTAGGAGGCAAATGCATCCAGTTCCAGAGTGTCCCACTAGGAACACAGCTAACCAAATACCTGTGGGTTGAGGGACTACTCTGTAAGGAAAATCTTGTCAGAACAAGAAAAATGATCAATGACCATATTCAGAATACCTGGTAAATGTTATGCCATCAATCAAATGTGATGGTTGTGGGCCCAAAACATGAGGTCTAACGTGCAGAAACGAGACCTTGACCGACTGCCCCTTTGCTGAGTGATGTACAAGACAGCCATGGAATTGTTGGAATAGATCATAACCACCTTGCTATAGAGAGACAGAAGGAAATGAACCAAAGCCCAACAAGCAGTGCTAAGAGATTGACCAATGTCCTGCAATTTCACCTACCAATGCAGCTTCTCAAAGGAGAAACTGAATGTGAAGGTAAGGCATTTGAAGAAGCTAGAAGCAACTAGTCATCTTTGTGGTGGTGGAAATGAAAGACTCTGAAATGGAGAAGATGAGCAAAAGCCTTGACCACCAGATAAAAAACATAGGGAGCCAAAGTCAGCCCAAATGGAAGAGCCTGGAACTGGCAGATACAGCCCTGATGAATAAAATCAAGAAAATGCTAGGAAGATGGGAATGTGGAGGTAAGCATTTGAGACATCTACCTTTGTCATCCACAGACCAGGAGTGGAAATCAATCGAAGAGATAGGCATGACTGTATGAAGAATCGAGGAAGGTTTATGACGCAGTTTAAGGAAGAAAGAGCAATGATGGGGCCCCAATCCCTTGTTCACTTGGGAACAATGAAAAAACAGGAATAGAAATCTGGCCGAGAAGGATCCACCCACTCCACAATGCTCTTGTGAAGATCTAGAACTG